GTTTAAATTCAGCAAATCATCTTTAATGGTTGTAGTCGATCGAGTCGCGTTCCACTTTATGAGCCATTGCTGAGTTTAGGCAGTATTTCTTACCATCAAATAACAGTGATAAATACACACACGAAATTGCTTTTAATCCATTGTTTATAAAAATCACAAGAGTAGCATCACTTCAAACACTGCAACTCATTATATAATAATCTGAATGTTATCAAATTTTGACAGTATGCTTTTGAAGGTTAGGACTAGGACTTAATGATCAACATATTACATACTTTGCATTAAAAATATTTTTGGTTTTAGAATTTTTTTCATATCACATATTCAATTACCTGTACTAGAATAGTGTAAACCTCGAATAGGATGATTATCAGCTGGTTGTAATGTTCTGAAGCTTCTCATACCTGAATCCATACCAGCAAAATCCCAGAAACTGACATCATAATCTATAGATCCTATTAAATGTATAAAAAAATATGATAAAGATTGAAAAGTAGTGTTAACAGTTTTGTGTTTATTAAAGTCAGATTTCACTATTTGGAAGAATGTACGTAAATGAATGTTTCTTGCTTCGGCACATGCGATGGCATTAACATTGCTATGCTTTAAAATTTCCAATTTGCCACGTGTTTAAAAAATAGTGGAAATGAAATGTAAAATATCAATTTTTATTTTAAAAACTAAAATATGTAACGAAATGGAACATATAAATAAAACTTATTTCGTTGCAATTTTGTGCTCAATTTTTACTATCGAAAGAAATCTCTTTTTTTTAAATTATTATGAAGGTATTAATCAATATGTTGAAGAATTCAGGTTTGTATGACCATAACTGCTACTTGTAAACAAGAATCGGCTACACTGTACAGCAGCAGAGTACAAATAAATTTACTAATTTTACTTTCTGTGATTTCTTACAAGAATTGAACAGGAAGTTTTTGAAAGCTGCTGTGTACATTTAAATTTGAGGATATTCAGTGTTTAAATGATGAAATCACTCTTCCAAATAGTGGAATTTTACTCACGTTACTTGTTAAAACTTATGCTAAATCTCATATACAGGGTGTGCCACGACAAGCTTATATATATATATATATATATATATATATATATATATATATATATATATATATATATATATATATATATATATATAGTCCCAAGATTCCTAAGAGGAACATAGGGCTTCCACAAAGTGTCTCCAGCGAACTCTATTTCTGGCTAGTGCTTTGATTTCAAGCCAGGATTTTCCCATTTTTCTCCCTTCGTCCAGTACTGTCCATCTCCAAGTTCCCTTAGGTCTGCCTACTTTCCGTCGGCCTTGGGGACAGTGATGCCACATGAAGTCGAAGAGAAATCGTAAGATCGGAAAAAATAAATCGTAAGAAATCGTGAGATTTCGCTACAGTTGAATTTTGAAGGAAATGGGAGTTTTTAAATGATATATAATTATACAAAACTATTTTAAATACTTTGTATTGTTATATATTAATTAATGTATAAGTACATACTTAAAAATTAGTGTACTAGAAAAGGGCCTATTTTAGGGGAACCACCAGTATCAGATATAATTCTAGAAATTACCTACCTACCTATATCTATATACTGCAAGCTATGGATTTATCGATTCGATATTAGGCAATGATTATAAACATTCTTTATAGTTTAAACTTCAATGAAAAATATAAACCTATTTTACCCAAGAATATTAAGTATAATATATATATTAGGTATACATAAACCTATTTTTGTTTTCTGAGGATTTAACATTTTATCAGTACTTGTAGGATTTCAAAGTTATTGAAGATGAAATATAAAGTTATTGTTATATGCAATTGCTGATTTGTTTCATATCTCGAACACACACCTAAATCATTTTGGTCTGTTGATCCTTTAATACAAAATTCTGGCTATTCTTGATATTTATTGATAAAATATACATAAACTTCAGTTGTTTATGGACCGATATTTACACTTTCAAGGCAATAAAGTACCTTTTAAGCTTTGTTTATATTATTTTGTGTATACTAATTGGAGCAGTGCAAGCATTTTTGTATAAAAATATAGTTGATTTATGAATATTTCAAGGTCACAATCTAAGAGCACTTTAAAAATGCTGATTTTCTCGTATAAATTTTATTAGGTACCCATTATTTATCTTTAGATTTAGTAACAGCCTAAAAATTTTAGAAATCGTAAGATGTAAGATGTCAATCATGAGATCGTGAGATTTGTCTTCAATTTGTGAGATCTCACGATAAATCGTGAGGAGTGGCATCACTGCTTGGGGATTCCAATCCAGCGCTGTCCTGGCAATGTCATTTGGCGGTCTACGGAGTGTGTGGCCCAGCCATCTCCATTTTCTTCGCCTTATTTGCTTTATGACATTTTCTTGGTTGCTTTGGTTCCATAAATTTTCATTGAAGATTCGGTTAGGACAAAATATACGAAGGATTTTTCGTAACGCTCTATTGATGAAAACTTGTAATTGGTGTACTATGGGTGCTGATATCTTCCACATGGAATATATCAGCCACCACAAGCTTACTCTATCTATATATCGGAAACTACTTACACTATATTTATGATAATTGGTTTATAGGGATTATAAGTTATGACAAACTGCAGAAAAGTATTTTGTCAGACATGCCACTTCAGGTTATACCACAAGTGAACATCAACTTTATTTTAAATTGAACACCCTGTATACTATTGCATTTTTAAATGAAAACATGGTTTACCATTATTAACAATTATGTAATTATAAAGCACATTCATAAGATAAGAAAATGATATTTAATTCAAGAATCCATAAAAAAGGATTAAGTAATTATAGGATTTGCATTTAAGTAGGTTAGAGTTCCTTTGAATTTATATATCTTAACATAGGTGCAATGATTATGAATGACACATTTCTTCCAGTGATTGTCCTCTTTTTACACTCTCTCCATCTATCCCTATTTGAGGTGGCACATCTGCATTAACTATGTTAGTGTTTAATAACTCCTTGACTGTATCAGTCCACTGTGTTGGTGATCACCTTCTTCCCCCTAGTTTTCCTTAAACTGATAATCTCTCCATATTATCGGCATATGTTATATATCCAAAGAATGTTAGTATTTTTGAATATATGGAACTAGAGAGACATTGTGGATTGTTAATCTTCACAAGAAGAGATGTATTTGTTCTTCTGCCTATCCAATGAATGACAAGCATTCTCCAACACCACATCTCACATATACTTCATCTAATTTAGATAACGACTTACGTCATTATCTACGTCAGAGATTGAAGTTGACATAGTTGCCAAAGTATAAAAAAATCCTGACTCAATTTTAAATTAAATAGGTCACATAATAATTGCAAAAGTATTACCATCTCTTTAGAACGACTATTTAAATTCTTACGTGACATTTTTGAAATAAAACACACTAATTTTGTTCTAAAAAGAACAGATTTTATTAAATAGGTAAAAATATAAAACAAGAGGTATTCACTTTAAAATTTAAAATAATAAAGTACAAAAAGTGTCAATACCGCAACTGTCAAATAAGTGTTACCAATTTATGCCAAAATTTTACCTTCGTTCGATTACAGTTACAGTGTGTTCCGAACAAATGTTCTTGATAAAAACTCTTTATAATGGATTTATACAAATTAAATGAAACATATTATTGTGTATTTCTTTAAGTTAACATTAATAGAAATTTTTAAATATTATTTCAACGCGTATATAATAAAATATGTCTAGTGGCTGTAATGCCAGTGTACTCAGTAAAGTGATTCTAAAAAGAACACATCTACACCCTAAATATTTAGTGTTGGTATCATATGATGTCACAGGCTATGACGCCGATGACGTGCATCGTTATATAAATTAGATGAAGTGTACATAAATTCTTTTCCTATTGCTTTTCAGATGATCTAAGTTTCAGAGGCATAACTAAATATTGGGAAAACCAGTGTTCATCCAAGATTGATCTCCCTGATCTTTTGTTAAGTGTGTATTTTTTTAAAATGTTAGTGAGGTAGGACACAGCAGTCATACCCATCTACATATCAAATTTCCAGTTCTTCCTGAAATTCCTTTGTTGCTGAAGGTGCTATCTAAATGCATGAAACTTATTTTCTTTTTATTAATTCTAACTCTAACTCTTAATAGTTTGTCAAGTATTAATGTATGCTGCATAATATAGAGAACTACAAATAAGGAGAACGTTAATTTACCTGATGCAAGTCGAGCACCACTTGGATCTACACAAAGGGCAGTAACAGCTTTAGTTCCATGAGTCATTTGTGTCTCATGGGAACAAGGAATAAATAAACTATCATCTTTTACAGCATCTTCTTCATCACTACTATCACTATGTTTACTTTCCTTCTCCTTAATTATCTCTTGATTACCAGAAAGCAAATTTTCGGGTACTGGTGGTCCTACAAAATCGTCTTCACTGTCGCTATCACTTTCTTCTAATACAATATCTTCTTCTGGTTTTTTAGTTATTTCTCGAGCAGTTGCTTTTACCTGTGCAAGCATATCTTTAATATCAAATGACTTGGCCTTCTTACCAAAGGTTGATATACCCATAACATTTTTTAATTGTTGTGATTCTGTATCGTCATCTAGGGCTTGAATAGCTTTTGGGGGGCCAAATGTTCCGAATGAACCGGTGGCCTCAATTTTTTCAGAATTCTGGCTAAAATTAGCGCTTATTTTTCCAAAAGTTATCTTTTTATTCATTTCTGTTTTTATTGATTTATACCGTGTTTATACTATTACATGTACCTAAACAAAATATTTTACATTTTTGTTTATAATTTGTTTAACCAATACCAATAGGATTTTGACGTTTTGGCTTCTTCTTGCTTATTCATTTGAGGATATTTCTACTTTACATTAAATAAATCTTAGGGTAGATGTAAAACACTGTAGGTCTAAAAGGGATTCCTATTAGTAAACTAAAATAAGTAGAGTAGTCAAACGTCAATCTTGTCAATGTCAAAAAGGAATACGGCTAGTCATCCAATTTCTTCAAATTACTTTCATTACGTCCAAATAAATAAAACTAAAAATGACCCAAATTGATCCTGAACGTGAAAAAAGTCTTCAAGAGTATAGGAAAAAATTATTAGAACACAAAGAAGTTGAATCTAGATTAAAAGAGAGTAAGTACAGATATATTCTAACCATTCCTTTATTAACATGTTTTCATATTTTCAGTGCGAGAGCAGCTAAAAGATCTTACAAAACAATATGATAAATCAGAAAATGATCTTAAAGCTTTGCAGAGTATGGGCCAAATAGTTGGAGAAGTACTCAAACAACTCACTGAAGAAAAATGTAAGTTTATAAGGAAGCCTTGCAAATATAAATTTAATTAAAAATTATGGTAATATATATTTTGTTTACAGTTATAGTCAAAGCTACCAATGGTCCCCGTTATGTGGTAGGATGTCGTCGTCAACTAGACAAGGCAAAGTTAAAAGCAGGAACTAGAGTAGCATTGGACATGACTACATTAACTATTATGCGATATTTGCCTAGAGAAGTGGACCCATTGGTATATAATATGAGTCATGAGGATCCTGGAGATGTTACTTATTCCGCTATTGGTGGTTTATCTGAACAGATTAGAGAACTTCGAGAGGTTATTGAATTGCCTTTGTTGAATCCAGAATTGTTTATGAGAGTTGGAATTACTCCACCTAAAGGTACACTCAAATGACACACTGAATGATATTTATAATAAATTGTGTGTATTTTAGGTTGTTTGTTATATGGTCCTCCAGGTACTGGAAAAACTCTACTAGCTAGAGCTGTAGCATCTCAGTTAGATGCAAATTTTCTCAAAGTAGTCTCCAGTGCTATTGTTGATAAATATATTGGAGAATCTGCAAGACTGATCAGAGAAATGTTTAACTATGCTAAAGACCATCAACCTTGCATTATTTTCATGGATGAAATTGATGCTATTGGTAAGTATTATCTTTATTTAAATTCATTATTTTGTGATATTTTGATGAATACATACGTTTAAAACAATATAAACAATTAACAAAACATTGTACATGATTATCTTGGTATATATGCAATATGATTCGAGGAAAAAAAGACACTAGATACATCCAATTTGAATATTGTTTACCAATGTTTAAAAAGAAAATATTGATGTAAAAATTACAGGGACATAAATACAGTACTATTAGATACCATGTCTGAAATTAAAACTTTATATTAAGGTAGGCCAGGCAATACTCAGTTTAGGGCACTCTACATAATCAAACTTTTATATGACATTTAACATAGGCTTAAATGGTGTCAAAGTTGCCTTGTCTCCAGTATTTTCATACTCTCACATAATATAGAAATGCATTGAAATTTTATAAAAAAATCATAAATTTTAATTAAATTAAAGATAGTAATTAAATGCATATACAATAAAATTGATTAAAATGATATAAAAAATTAATACAGTAGACTCTCTCTATAACGAGAACTGAAATGGCAGACTAATTACTTCGTTATAAGCCAATATCGTTATATCAGACAACAATAATACTGTGCATATGAATATGTAGTTTTCTAAAACATTAACTCCCTATAGTGAAACCATTCGGAGGAATATAAGATGCTAATAAATATTGTTTGAATGGCGTTTTTGAAAAAAAGTTTTATTGTCAATTATATCTGTTAAAAGAAAAAATCTGTACTTACATTTTTTCCAACTACATAATGTATAAAGCATATTTTAAAGGATAATATAAACTATTGCTTCTGCAGTTGGAAGAATTCTGTAATTTTTGACTGCTTTAAATTGTCCAGTATCATTATATCTATCATATTTTCATTCTAAAATATAACATAATTAATCACCATGCCACCTTTCATTTTTTTAGCTTGCTAGATTTATAATTATATTAATGAATCTTTATGTTATTGTCATCTAATTGCCTATATTTTATTTTATTGCCTTTTATATAACTGATATTCTGGAATTGACTTTTGTTATTTGTTCTTTTTATTTACACATTTTAAAGAATCATTAGTTTCTAGTCATAATTTTATTTTATTCTAGGTTTGGTTTTATAAATTTGCAATTAAATTAACAATATATTTTATTTTTAGGTGGTAGAAGATTTTCTGAAGGTACTTCAGCTGATAGAGAAATCCAAAGGACTCTTATGGAACTGCTTAACCAGATGGATGGTTTTGATTCATTAGGACAGGTAATATAAAACAGGACAGTTCTGATTACATGCGATTGTATGATAAAGTTCCTTGTGAAGCCTGGAACACATCTATCATACAGCCTTCTGATCATACATTGTTAAGTAGCTGAGTACCTTTCTGTATAGATGGAAAAGAGTGGGTAGTTGAACATTATTCTATCTTACGTAAATTGTTTTGCTGAATACGAATATGTAGTTCCCAATCCCATGTTACATAAGATAGAATGGTTTTCAACTATCCACCCTTCCATGTATATAGAAAGGTACACAGCTGTCAAACTATGTATGATAGGTGTGCCCCAGGCTTGATAGATGCTTATAGGTTGATTCTTAGTTGTACTGAAGCAGTTTGGCTTATTGTAAATTGTGTATGTTATAGTAACTAAGAAAATTTGACTGCATTGTCTATACAAAGAATCACTTATTATATCTGAAAAGTTGCAGTATCTCAGATGACTATCGATCCGACAAAGAAGAAAATTTTTTTAAATTAGTTTTTTTTTCACAGAGATTTTACGCTTAGAAAGTGGGCGCTCTGACCACTGCTTACACCAAAGCGTGATGTATTCAAGAAATTGTAAAAGATATATAATTCAACCTCTATATAATGTCGAGTGCCTTTCGGGGGAACTTTTTATAAACTTGAAATTAGAGGATCTGAACAAGCCGTTAGTCGTAACAACACATCCATCATGCAGTTAGTCAGAGAGTTCTATCGAGAATTGTCTCGTTGAAATTTCATAATTACTTTATTGGATGACTCTTGAGCCTCGCTAGATAATTACCCAACAGGCAAGAATGCCGAAGCTATGATTTTCAGTCCATGAACCAAGAGCTTGTGGATGGTTGTAAGCATATAATCACGGATATAATTTGACGAACAATCTTTCTACTTCCAATGAATAACCGCGAAACTTGTCAATCTCATTTCCATAATAACGAAAGGTATACTGATGTACATCACAAATTCAACCATTATGATTTCAAAGTGTACCGATAAAAAACCTAGCGTGAAGTAGTCGTGGATAACTGGTCTTTAAAACATTTGATCTATTTCGAGTACGACGGCGCAGCCGGGCTTATTTTAAAGACCTCAATATCCACTTTAATATACAATTTTAGTTAAATAATATATATTGGATATAAATATCAGCATTTCTAAATTTCATTTTTTTTTTTAGGTAAAAATGATTATGGCAACCAACAGACCCGATACTCTAGATCCTGCTCTGCTCCGTCCTGGTCGTTTGGACAGAAAAATCGAAATACCCCTTCCAAACGAGCAAGCCCGTCTTGAAATTTTGAAGATCCATGCACTCCCAATCGCTAAACATGGAGAAATTGATTATGAAGCTATCGTTAAATTATCTGACACATTTAATGGAGCCGATTTAAGGTAAGAAGTTGTACTTAAATCTCTTACATATTATTTTTATATACTATCTATCTACTATTATGAATCGGTGTAGACAAAAACGTTTCAAGTCGTTTTTTTCATTTTTGACATTCTAATTATGGTTATATGAAACAACAAATCTACGGACATGAGCATGAATGTGCCAGAAATTTAGATTAATTACGTCAATAAATCATTCAGGCCTTTCAAAACATAACACTCGAAATGTTGTCAAACACCCAAAGACAATTATACAATAGATTGGGCTACTGCTTGGCTAAACGTGGTGGACTTAAAATAGTTTAAATTTTTTTAATTAAATTGTTTTAATTTATGCCGTTAAGATTTTATTATGGTATTTTTTATGAATTGAGATTAAAGAAACTGTTGATTTGATGTTAGATGTAAACCTGCTTTTAAATCTTTTAATCACATCGTTTAAATATTTCCCCAGACCATCTAGAAAATAAACTTTCTTTCGGCAACAATGTACAGACAAGACTGTCCATGGTGCTTACGGGTCTATCACAGGCATGTGATCACATGTTATTCTTTCAGACATACAAGTCTATATAATATTTTTCTCAGTTTGTTGCGTTATCTTAATGCTTTATAGTTAGATAATTTTTTCCATACCTGTATATACATAAATAAAATATAAATATACACTATTTTTTAAATTAACATTACTAACATTTTAATTTTTTTTATAGAAATGTGTGCACAGAAGCTGGTCTTTTTGCTATAAGAGCTGAACGAGAGTATGTAATCCAAGAAGACTTTATGAAAGCTGTGAGAAAGGTAGCCGATAACAAGAAACTTGAAAGTAAATTAGATTATAAACCTGTATAAACCCAGTTGTATCTTTAACATAGTTTTAAGTTTTTCTTTTGCTACTATAAAACCATTTAACAAAATGTCTGTGTGAATAAAAAGGTATTTTGTAACTTTTGGTTCTTTTATTATATTAAAATTATACACCCTCTGTGGCTCAGTGGTAAGAGCGCCTACCTTTAAACCAAAAGGTCGTGAGTTCGAATCTCATCTGGGTGGAGAAATTTTCGTTTATTAAAAATTAATAAATGAAAATAATTTCTATTCTTGTGCGATCGGTACACACCAGAGGGACCGCAGACGTTCGGATACAATTAGCGTCTCTTAGCAAAGACAATGACGTCGACTTTGCTAAGTATCAAGACAATTACTCTACACACACACTACACTAGGTACCTGACTGTACCATGCCAATGATCATAGTTGTCGAGGCATTAACTCAATAAAAAAAAATATACAGTTAAGGTAAAAAATCACAATATCCTATACAACTACAATAGATAATTGCTATTAAATGGGAATAAGCCACAATTAAAGGTTAAAATACGTTTATTGACGTTTCAATTTCCACTTCGGAAATCTTTCCCAAAATACAAACATTAGTAAATTAAACAAATTTTGTTTTTTGTTACTTAGTGAAAAATTCTTCTAACAATTTAATTTTATCTGACTCATTTATGTTGACAATTCATACATACATTATACATTTAAAAGTAGACGAGTTTAAAATGATATTGCCAATATTGTTGAGTTGCGCTCCTGGGACGACTTTACTTATAAGATAGTTCACTCGATTACATGAAATCAACTTTAACTTAAGAATATCCGTCAGAATAAATCATAGCATGTAATTCGTCTTTAAAAAGACAAACACATGCCATGATGACAGTAAAATTTTCCTGTTAGTGATTCCATAGTAAATTATGAGGGAAAACCCAGGAAAAAAACCTCAATATTATCCCGACATGCTAAGTATTTGGTCGTGCATTTAGTTTACTTTCAATAAACACCAAATTCTGATTTTATATATTTGTTATTTGGAAAACATAAATGATATATCCTCCATATGTTACTGACTTACTAATGTATTTACTGGTATTTTCTTTGTAATAAATTCCTCTTTTAATATGGGTAACCAGATCCTACTGCGTTCTGCCGAGGAATTTGCGACACAATTGGTGTCATTTAGCATAATTAGAGCCGCTTCTTTGATTTTTCTCCTTTTACCATCCGTTTTTTTGGGACTATATTTGAATCATTCCATTGAACCCTATGTTCATTATCCCATGCATGTTTACATATTTGAGATCTATCGAATTCTCTATTTTTAATATAAAATTGATGTTCACTTATTCTAACATTTAATGGCCTTGATGTTTCACCTAAATAAAACTGATCGCATTCACAAGGTATTTTATAAATGCAATTCTTTGTCATTTCTTGTTCATTGTTAGGTTTGGTTTTGGACAAAATAGATCTCAACGTGTTTGTTGTTTTGAATGTTTAATTTATTTCCTATCCTTTTAAGTTTTTCTGATAATCCTTTTATGTATCGTATTGTTATTTTAATCGTATTATTCCATGTGTATGCTGTAGGATCTCGTTCTAAGTTGTTATGTTCTATTCGATCGATTGTTGAAAATTCCTTATTTATAAATGATAAAGGATAATCATTTTTTAATAAAACAGATGTTAACAAATGTTTCTCCTCCAAGAACTAATTTTCGTTAGAACAAGTAATTTTGGCTCTATCGTATAAGGATTTATTGATTCCCCTTTTAATATTAATATTGTGATTTAATTTGAAATTTAAATATCTGTTGGTGTGTGTTGGTTTTCTATACACCTGAGTCTCATATCCAGTATCGTTCTTAGAGATTAAAACATCCAGGAAAGGTAATGTGTTATTATATTCCTTTTTCATGGTAAATGTTATTGTCTCTTCTTTATCGTTTATATCATTTAGGAATATGTCCAACAACTCTGATCGATGAGGCCATATTGAGAATACATCATCTACATATCTCCAGCATGCTGTGGATTTTAAATTTTGTGTAGAAATGATATTTGTTTCAAAATCTTCCATAAATATATCGGCTAATAATGGAGATAAACTAGAGCCCATTGCTAGACCAAAATTTTGTTTATAGAATTCATTATTTAGTTGAAAATATGTATTATCAGTACATAATGTTAATAACTCCATTATAGCTGATATGTTTAGTCTTTTTCTAGTTGCCAATGTATCATCACTCTCTAATTTTGTCTTGACTATATTTAAAGTCTTATCTAATGGCACATTCGTAAATAAAATATTTATGTAAAAACTTACCAAAGTATTATTTGAATTAACTTCAATATTTGATAATTTATTTAAAAAAATTGGTGTATTTTTTATAAATCTGTCATTTTTATTTGCAAATGGTTTTAAAATATTTAATAAAAACCTTGATAGTTCATTACAAGGAGAATTCATGGTACCACAAATGGGTCTAAGAGGTATATTCGTTTTATGAACTTTCGGTACTCCATAAAAATGAGAGGTCTTACTGTAATGAGGTGTAATTAATCCTCTCTGATAACTTGTTAAACAATCTTTAAACTTGAATAAAGTTCTATATATTTTGTTTTCCAAAGGCTTTGTTGGACCCTTTGTTAATTTTGTATAAGGTCCGTTTATTATTAGATATTTTCCAGGGGAGGCATTTCTTTCTTATTGTCCGCGTACGGAGCGATGGTTTTTAATCTAATTTAATTCGATTCAATTTTAATTTAATTTTTTTTTAGTTTATTTTAATAAGAAATATGCAGGGGCTGCGTTTACTACTCTAAGTAGTGTGTGGTCGATTTACTACTCCAAGTAGTGTGCGCGATATGTCGTTATATTGCGTTAGATTGTCTGTCTTTTGTTTTTATTTTTTCACATCTCGACGCGATCCATTGCACCTATCAATGCATTCCGTCCATAGCCGGCGATAAGAAAGCTATGCTTCCAAAAACATCACCTTAGCAGAGTCTGGAATTCTATCATCCCAGACTCTGGAAAGTAGCCGAAGTCATAATAATCGCCAAACCAAACAAAACTCCTAATGAAGTGACAACCTATTGACCAATATCACTTCTTCCGGTGATGTCAAAACTATTTGAAAAATCAATTTGATGATTTGGTATAAGATTTTTTCTTTCTATTATTGGTTTTAATCTTTTCAATAGAATAGCAGAATAACGAATATTTTAAAATCCTTGGGGGTATTAAGCCCGTGATTCTTCTTTTCCTGGTAAAGAGGACCATCTCTGTTTTCTTAGGATTTATAGATAGTGAGTGTTCCTTGCACCATGTTTGTATTAGTCGAAGAGCAACTTGTGATCTCTCACATAGTGTGTTCTCAAAATTACCGCTTTGCAAGACAGCAATATCGTCTGCATAGGCTATTGTGTAGAAACTGTTGCTGTTGAGTTGGTCAACCAGGGTGTCTAGAACTATGTTTCATAGTAGTGGTGATAGCACCCCTCCCTGTGGACATCCCCTCGTAACCATGCCTCTAACAGAAACGTCTTCTACATTTATGCTTATTGCTCTACTAGAGAGCATACTAAATATCCATTTGCTTATGGCCAGGGGAACATTCCTAACGTTGAGCTGTTGGGTGATAGTTGGGAATGTGGTTTTATCAAACGCTCCCTCAATGTCTATGAATATACCTAGGGTGGATTCTTTATTATCCAGCGATCTTTCAATTCTTCCCACTACATGATGCAGTGCAGAATCAGTAGATCTTCCCGAAGTATATGCATGTTGATTTGGGTGAAGTGGGTTATGAACCAGAACTTCATCCCTTATGTACCTCTCGCATAGCCTCTCCATCGTTTTCAACAGAAAGGATGTTAGGCTAATTGGTCGGAAAGCCTTTGGTAGGGTGTAGTCCATCCTACCTGGTTTTGGTATGAGGACCACACATACCTCTCTCCACTTCTTAGGAATATATCTCAGAACCAAAGAGGTTCTGAATATTTCCACGGGGTGCGGCAGAAGGATATCCAGTCCCCACCGTAGTAGGGCTGGATATATGCCGTCAGACCCTGGTGATTTGAAAGGGGTGAAGCACGATATGGCCCATTTTACCCTTTCCTCCAAAAGTCCTGATGTTTTTAGGATATCGATTATTTCCATAGGGTCTTTGTCAAATGTCATCTCGAGACCAATGAAACATGCATACTACACATTGCAGTTGATATCCCTGGTTTTCTGTATTAGAACAAAATGATACTTCGATACAATTTTATATATTATATATTTCTTTAATGCTATATTTTTATATAACTTTAACAGTAGGTTTGTCCCGTTTATTATCAACAAACAAATTTTACTTATTGTTTTTAATGTGAAACAGATTGTAAAACTGAGATGTTCATAAGAGATGTATTAGTGTTTCTTTTGTAACATAGTGCCATATTACATAGAATTTGGATTCACCTATCTTTTATTATTTAAAAAGTATTTGAAAATAAATAAATATGAACAAATTTTCACAATTTTTGTATTTGAAATCAGGTGTTGAATAAATGTTACTTACATAATATATCTTGTTTTTAGCTTATTTAAATATTATTATTACAAAAATCAGAACAAATCATAAAAAACAAGTCAAATATTTTCATAGGGGCTATACATACAAACATCTATACAAACTTACGGGCTCTTAAAATATACACAATTCGCTAAACTTAAGTCAAAACTAAACTAAAAAACTCTAGGGTATTTTTACAATAACTTAGTAGCCAATATCTGGCGGATAATCAAAGTACTTTAAAGCTACTTAAATAATTAGTTCTCCTACAATTTTCATTACATGATATTAATCGAATAATTTTATATTGACACGATGTTGTATGTATACTGTGTTTGGCCGAAAAATATTTGATATTCACTCATAGTTTCGCACCAGAAGGTTCCAGCGCAATCTGTGATATATGCCTGTAATGATTAACTCTTCACAAACTTGCAGTAAATTGTAGAGTGTATTTTAAGAATTGGCGGCATAGTTTCTAAAGTTGTTATTACATATTGTAGTATTGATTTATATGTGATTCATGCTGGGTCAAATGACCCATTA